GACCTAACATGCAGTTTATGTTATTATATAGGCTGCTTAAAAATATATGTATTACCGGGCATTTGAGTAACCAGACTTAACTTAAAAGAGACACTATATAGTCACCAGAACAACTACAGCTTATTGAATTTGTTCTGGTGAGTAGAATCATTATCTTCAGGCTTTTTGCTGTAAACACAGTTTTTTCAAAGAAAATGCAGTGTTTACATTACAGCCTAGTGATAATTTCACTGGCAACTTCTCAGATGGCTGTTTGAGATCCTTCCTGGGTCATGGCTGCCTAAAATGCATCCAAACATTCAGTATCTCCTCGATCTGCATGCAGACACTGAACTTTCCTCAGAGATTCATTGATTCAATTCATCTCTATGAGGAGATGCTGATTGAAACATAGAAACATATTTGCCAGGGCTGTGTTTGAATAATGCTGGCTCTGCCCCTGATCTGCCTCTTTGTCAGTCTCAGCCAATCCTATGGGGAAGCATTGTGATTGGAACAGGCTACCACTTCTGATGTCAGCGGACAGCATGCAGATCTACAGCTTCAGGCTTGAATACAGTAATATATAGTTATATTTAAGGAGGCATGAGGGGCCCAGAGGGGCTAGATGGTGGTTTTAAAACTACAGGGTCAGGAATACATGTTTGTGTTCCTGACCTTATTTAAAGAATAGTCAGAGCAAAGTTGAGGTCAAGGATACAGAAAGACAATGAATAGACAAGCCAATATATCAAGGATATCAGAAATAAGGTCAAGAAAAAGCAAGATAAACGCTCTGATTTCCAATAAATGGAAAGCGCAAAAAGAGAATTGAGAATTTTTAAAAAATTATTTTAAGGGCAAGGATTGGTCAGAATTGACCTTGTGACGCCAAGAGGTGTGTGGGCATCAATCACGCATGATTTCATCACGTTCATGTTTGAGGGTGTGGCTATATAGTTTTGCAATTCCGTGTCAGCCAGGAGCTGTGTGAAGAGGGGACCGGACAGGCTTCTACTGCGAGGCAAGGTTCTTATCAAGGTTTTCAAATTGCGCCTTTTTGGAGCTGTGACAGTAAGACTCATTGGTGTATGTAAGAAGCGAATGCTTCCTGTCTGGGCCACCCAAAAGAGCTACAGTAGCTCAAGCTGTTGAAAATGCTGGCAGCGATAGAAAAGTGTCAGAAGACACAGTGCACCAGAGTAAGTGTGCCCATGATGACTCCAGGCAACAGCCAAAAGCACAGTTATTAGGGACACGTCAACCCTGGACCATGGAAGCAGTTTGTCTGGTCTGATGAATCACTTACTTTTAGATCAGGTGGGTGGCTGGGTGCACGTGCGTTGTTTAGCTGGGCAAGAGTTGGCAGCAAAATACACTATGGGAAGAAGGCAGGCCAGCAGAAGGCAGTGTTATGCTCTGGGCAATGTACTGCTGGGGAACCTTGGATCCTGACATTTATGTGGATGTTACTTTGACACATAATATCCCCCTAGAGATTGCTGCAAACCACATACACTCTTTTATTGCAATGGTGTTCAGATTGAGCACCTGTGGGATGTGTTTGAACAACAAATCCAATACATGGAGGCCCAACTTCAAAACAAGCAGGACTTAACAGATCTGCTGCTAGTATCTTGGTGCCAGATACCACAGGACATGTTCAAAGGACTTGGAGCCAATGCATCAAAGAGATTTCTGCAGAACAAGGGGGATATTAAGCAGGTGATTTTAGTGTACCAAAGGAAAGAAAAAAGGAAAAAAAAGTCTCTGATACAGCAAGACATCAAACCATGAAGACATACAAATAAGAGTTCCTTGACTCCATCCCATGATCTAGCCTCACAGAGGTCACTGAGGTAAAAGATCCATTTTGCATTAGCATATCAAAGCTGATGCTCTTAGTCAAAGAATTAAAGCAGCACAGTCCCCCATATTAAAAATGAGTATTTCATAAAAATATAGTCTTTTTAAAATACTCATTATGACTGTTGATGTGTCACTGAAATTCCAACCCATGTAAGATATACAGAGACAAAGTATGGACTATTTATCTTTGTATTTATCCTGGAGCCCATGTGTCATAACCTGCAGCTGTCATCAGGGATGGCTGCAGGTAATTAGCTGTGTCTATGGAAGTGCAATGCTCAGTGACATAAGGTCAAGAGGAGTAGCGCAACCAGCCTCACCTTTACCTATCCCCTGGGTCACCGGACCGCAAGCAGAGATGTCGAATTGGGCAGAGTCCCCAGACAGTGCCGCTTTAAAGTGTTACTCCAATTCATTCAAAGATTTGGTGCTGCACTCTGGCTTATAGAACAAGTGGGGGTTTATGTTTGGACACGGAGTTGGGTTTTGGGAGGGACTTAAATGGAAACTATAGCGCCAAGAAAACAAAGTTGTTTTCATGCAAAAATTAGATGTGAAAGTCACTAGTCTACAAAAGTTGATTCACATCAATAAACCTATTTAAAATGGGGACATGCATCAGTTGACTTATTTTTTCTAAACAGGCAAGCAGTTTTAAACAAAAACACAAACGGCATTGCTCTCAGCCAATCAGCAATGCCGCTGCCCAATTCTGCAAGAGTATTCCGGTTTAAAGATTTTGAGAAAAAGGAAGAACAGGGTGAAAGCGAGATTCGGCACTGGAACACAGAATTTGGAGGGGTTTAAACGGTTCAAAGTCTTTTCAATTATGTTATGGTGCCAAACTGGTCCCTTAAGCTTTTGAATGAGACGCCAGTCCATTTAGCTGCAGGTTTATTTGTATGCTGTGCAGTGTGACCAGATTTCAAATTTTTCCTCAGAATATGACATTTTTGGAAGTTTTAGATTTATTTTTTCCCTTCTGAAAGCCAGTAGCTACACGGCAAAGCCAGAAATTATGGGATTACCAAGGTGTGATCTAACGGTTCTGAAACTATGAAGTTGAACATATTTTTGGAAGAAAACAGGAAACCATTGGTCAAGATGGGTGGCGTTTTCCCTGCTGAATGGATTTGTTACTGGAACCTTCAAATTCAACAAAAAAAAATTGTGTAATATTATGGTTGGAGCACTCTAATGCTCTTAGTCAATGGGCATGGTCCTGCACATAGCATCCGAGCTCTATACAACTATCAAGATTCTCCTGCAGGAGAAATCAGGACGCTGGGGATATGGCTGTAGGCACTCTGTGGTACTAATGTTATCATTGATCTATTTACCATCAAAGATTGGGGTGTTCCTTTGACTACTATGCACAAGTAAGAGGAGTTGGTGGTACCCCTTTTTTTTTTTTTTTTTTTTAAAATCAAAATATGATCATGACAAATTATGTAAATGTATCATTTCAAAAAAAATTTCCTGAAGTAATTATGGGACATATTAAAGCAACATCTTTATATAGTCAGTGACTAAAGTACAAGTTTTGTGTTTTTTTTTAATGAAAAAAATATCAGTAGTGTTACACTTTTTTACAGTATATTAATAAAAAGAGCTCCTTTCAAAGATATAGAAAAAGTATTCATAAGATAGCATTCTATTTAACTTTCCACTACTTGAGATTTAATGTTGTACCAGAACTAGGTCACAAGGTGATCTGTCACATGTCTCCAAACCATCACCTTCCTCTAAAGAGAACTATGTCACTACCATTAACTCCCTCCAACCCGTGCCTTCCAGCCGAGCCTCCCTTTCCATAGTCCAGAAACACTAGGGGATTCCCGGTCCAAGACCACTGTGGCGGTGTACGTTCCTGAAGATTTTGTTACTACCACCTAGGTCACCCCTTCCAGTTGTGATCAGCTCCAAAGTGATTATAGCTTCTTGCACAGGTTACCACGGTATCACCCAAACAGTAGTCGAGACTTAGTGAAGGGTGAAGACTGGTTTTATTATGGCTAGATGGCCCACTTATATACACAGCAAGGGTACAGTAAACCACGCCCAGAACATTCCCACAACATGCCCATGAATTTCTAAGCATCATCATGTCCAAGCATAAAAATATAAATCAAAAAAAAAAAAAAAAAATTATATA